GCTGTTAAATCGCGTTGTTTACCCATATCTTCAGAAAAAAATCACTTCTACTGTCGTGGTAAACAACCTGCTTCCCTATTTATAATGGTCTGGCCCTCTAGCAACTTCAGCGTGAAATTACAGCTAATTTGCCTACAAACATCAGGTGGTCATAATAATCTGGACACTCAGTGTATATATATATTTTTTAAAAAGAAAAGAAATGTTTATTGGTTGCCTCCCACATGATTGAACCTGTAACCTTGGTGTATCTGGACGACACTCTAACCAACTGAGCTACTCAGCCAGGACTTCTCTTGTGATTTTATGGGGAACAATTTGGACAACAGTAAGAATGTGGGCTCTGTGATGTTGGGCGCACCACCTCACCTCTCTATGCTTGGGCCCCTCCAAGAGCTGGGCTGACACAATAATGCACGCCTGGTGGGGATGGTTTGGTGCATGGGGTTTGCACAGAGCTGGGCACCGTGCCCGGCCCGAGTCCTCACTGAGAGTCAGCCCTTTCTGTCTCAAAGACCTGGGTTTCCCGTGGTCTTGCGGGGCTCAGCAAGGCCTCAAATAAAAACATCCCTCATCCCCATAGGCTTTCCAGGATGGGTGTGCAGCCAGCCTCCTCTGGGCCAGCTGCAGTCCCAGGTGCCCTGCCCGTCCCCTCCCAGGAAGTCCCCGAGGGTGTGGTGAGGTCTACTCCAGCCTCCCCTGCACGGGCCAGCTTCCTGGCCTGCAAGATGGCCTTCAGGGTGTGGGGACCATCCTGACAGCCCTTGGGAAGGCCTCTGCTGCATTTTCACCTACACCCAGAGGAAGAGAAGCTGCTGGGTGGGGGGCGGGGAGCACTGCAGACAGTGGGAACACCCCAAGCCCCGGCGGGGTGCAGCAGGCTGGAATAGGACCCACAGGGTCTGGATCTGATTCTAAGTGAACGAAGAGGTGCAGCCGGATTTAAGCAGAATAGCCACAAAGGAGGGGGTCACAGCAGCGGGGGGAATGATCTGAGATCCTTGTTGCCAGTAGAAGTGTCAGCCTCTGCCGCCCATAGGGTGTGTGTGTGTGGGGGCTGGGGGGGTGGGAGGAGGCCGGGGTGACCCCTGGGATTCTGGCTGGAGCAATGGAGGGGAGACGAGGTTCCCTATGGGGAAACGAGGTTGTTTTTTCTTGAGGAAAGTCAAGGGCATCGCTTGGGTTATCCACAGTGCAGGGCCCCTATCTCCTCCATCCCAGGGGAGAAGTCGCCTCTCCTTCCTCTGCTGGGGCGCGCCTCTTCCAGGAAGTGACAGCACAGAGTTTCGGAGAGGGACAGGCCGGCGGCCGCGCGACCACCGCCC